GGCAAGTTAGGCGGGGAACGTTGGAGTCCGCAGTCACTGGAGCAAGCAAGCCTCCCTGTTCGCTTCAGTGCATGGCTGCCAGCCGCCATCTTGGCTGACAGTTAATTTGCATAAGGATATGCTGATTAGCCAATGGGAAGGGTAGCGGTCGTATGCTAATTACCAGGTTTCTCTTTTATTAGTGTAGATTGGCATTTTTATTTTTAATTAGAAAGAAAGGGTATTAAAGATATTAAGGAGAAACTATTTACATCCTAGGTATTTTAAGAAATTAAAAAGATATGGTTTTACTAACAATGCTACCTTAGTTATAAAATATTTTAAAGTTTATGAAGTACTTCTATATACACTTGCTTTGCTTTAGCCTTCCACTAGAGTTCAACGTTTTACTAAATAGTTTAGCAATGAGTAGTTTTGCCCCCCACCCTAAAAAAATGGGAAACACTTTTATATATTTCAGCAATTACCAATCAAGGAAAAACTTTTATATTTTATATATCAGTGTCTTTCAAATACAATCCAATCTTTGAATTAACATTTTGCCCTCTTCCAGTTGCTAGAACCTGTCTGTCACCAGCTCTTTGAATTCTATCGCAGTGGAGAGGAGCAGTTACTTCGATTTACACTGCAGTTTCTTCCAGAACTGATTTGGTGCTACCTTGCCGTCTCAGCCAGCAGAAATGTGCACAGCAGTGGATGCATTGAAGCTCTTCTTCTAGGGGTTTACAATTTGGTTTGTATTTAATGTGGTTAACAAAATGTGTTTTGGCAAAAGCAAATGCATAACATTTTCAGCAAAAGCAAATAGCAACTACTTTTCATGTTTGTAAAGCTAATATTTGTTTTTTTGTACATCAAATGATTCAGCTCATTCTTCCAAACATAACTTTATGAGGTTGAGGTCTATATGGGCATACATATAATACACACACACACACACACACACACACACACATATATATAGCTAATATGCAAAGTGTCCCCGCGGGAGTTCCATCAGGAGTTCAATCGCTTGCTATGATGTACGCTGACCACCAGGCCTAGGGACCCTACCTGTGCACGAATATTGTGCACCGGGCCTCTAGTTATGTAAATAACTCTTTTGGGATTGACTGAAGACTGAAAATAAGACCATTTCTTTTGTAGAGGTATCTGAAAATATAATTATTGAATTTTAAAGTTTTTAATCTTAAAACCCATTGTCTATAAATTGTTTGTGACCTTCACAAAAAGTTTAGGAGAAAAAATTTAGTCTAACATCTACCACTAATAGTTCTGTAAAATTTGGACCGTCTCCAGAGTTTATAACATTGATTTAACATATAGTTTGAATTACTAGTAGTGTTTTTATATTAATTAGTATGACATTCTAGATACTTAAGGTTTCTACTTTTTAAAATGGAAAAAAAAAGTAAGAACTTTTTTTTGACATATTTCATAACTGTGTCAATTGATTTAGAAAATGTAACTTTTTACATGAAAAAAATTAATGACTATTAAGACTATATCTATATGTCAGCCAGCCTTAAAATTATGTTACTTATATTTAATTTTTTTATGTTAGTTATATTTTAAAAGGAGAAAGATTTATGCGACCTGAAGAGAAACCAGAGTATTATATTACTTATATTTCAAAAGTGGAAGGTTAACTCCAAGTATTTCTGAATAATTTATGATGGATTATCATAATTAAAGATTTCAGTTGACTTTAAAATTCTTTTCAGGTCATACTTTAACAATTTAAATTTAACTTTTAAATTTATATGCAAAACATAAATATTTTAATATACTTTCTTTTACTTTTGTAGGAAATAGTTGACAAACAGGGACATAGCAAAGTATTGAGTTTTACGATTCCATCTTTATCCAAGCCATCTGTATATCATGAAGTAAGTGGCATTTTATCAAAGTATGCTTATTATTGCTAAGATTTGAAGTTACTATAAATTGGGGTCTGGTTATTGAGACAAAGTTTTTGATCAATTTATTAGTACTGTAATTATAAAACACTAAAGTATTTGCTGTTTTCAAATTTGAAATGAGAACTCAAAATCATTAAACTCTAAAATCTGATTCTTAAGAAATCTATTTAAAGTATTCATTTTGAAATATTTTTCTCTTCTTCCAATGGATAAGACTAGTCTATTTTTTTTGGTAGCAATTATGTATTTTCATGGCAGAATTTTTGAAGTTTAACTATTATTTCTATTTGTAGTTTGGTTGTTAGTTATTCTTTTTAAAAAAAAAATTTGATTTTTTACAGAGAGGAAGGGAGAGGGATAGAGAGTTTGAAACATCAATGAGAGAGAAACATCGATCAGCTGCCTCCTGCACACTCCCCACTGGGGATGTGCCCGCAACCAAGGCACATGCCCTTGACCGGAATCGAACCTGGGACCCTTGAGTCCGCAGGCTGACGCTCTATCCACTGAGCCAAATCAGTTAGGGCAGTTGTTAGTTATTCTTTAAGCAGAAAATTTAGTAGACAGTCTGAATGTTTTTAAGATATATGATTTCATGGCAATTATTCTTAGTGGTATATGTATTCTAAGTATCACATTTTTAACAAAAGGGTTTTTATTTCTTCTTTATTCAAATGTCCTTTTTTTAGCCTTCCAGCATTGGGTCCATGGCTCTGACTGAGAGTGCACTATCCCAGCATGGTTTGTCAAAAGTTGTATACAGTGGACCTCACCCCCAAAGGGAGATGCTGACAGCACAGAACAGGTATGCTGTAGAGACATAACCTACACTACTACCACACTGATTAAAAACATTATTTCAGTAGGTTTATAAATAATGATTAATGAGTTGTGTATAACAATTTTTTAAAAATATTGAGTCATTGTACAAGAGATAAAACATAGTCCCGATTTGCCACTTATACTTTGCTTTAGATGTCATTGGAAACATCGAATTTTTAAGATAATTTTCATGTGACTGTTACTTGGGAAGTCTTCTTTTTTCTTTTTGGAGTTCTGTATTATTATTGTTGTGAGTATTTTGTATAGGTTTATTCTGTAACATACCTCTCCCCAATGCCTGCTTAATTTAATTATGGTTGACTTAAAATTTTAAAGATTTGTAAATATTCTTTTGGTTTATCTTTAGGTTTGAAGTGTTGACATTCCTTTTGTTGTGTTACAATGCTGCCTTAACCTATATGCCCAGTGTTTCTCTTCAATCATTGTGTCAGATTTGTTCAAGGTAAATTAAAATTTAAATGTTTTTAATATTGAAATATATGAATCTAGGGTTGCTAGTTTGTTATATATCTAAGTTATTTTTGTTTTATTTTATTATTTGTTTAAAACTTTTTTTATTGATTTGAGAGAGAAGGTAGGGGAGAGAGAGAAAGAAACATCAATGTGAGAAAGAAACATTGATCAGTTGCCTCTCAACCAGGGATCAAAGCCGCAACCTCGGTATGTGCCATGACGGAATTGAACATTGATCAGTTGCCTCCCACATGCGCCCCAACCAGGGATCAAACTGGCAACCTTGGTATGTGCCCTGACAGGAAATTGAACCCACCACATTTTGGTGTACGGATGACGCTCCAGCCAACTGAGCCACACCAGTTAGGGGTATTTAAAATGTTAAATAAGATGCCCTAGCTGGTTTGGCTCAGTAGATAGAGCGTCAGCCTACGGACCAAAGGGGCCCAGGTTTGATTCTGGCCAAGGGAACATATCTCAGTTGCAGGCTTCTCCCTGGCCTGGGCCCTGGTTGGGGTGCGTGTAGGAGGCAACCAATTGATGTGCCTCTCTCACATCAAAGTTTCTATTTGTCTTTCCCTCTCTCTTCCACTCTCTCTGAAAATCAATGAAAAATATCCTTGGGTGAGGATTAAAAATGGGAAAAATAAGTTAATATGAAGTTCAGCCTAGCCAACACATGGAAAGTTATTATAGTCACAAAAAATACAATAAAGAAGCTAATGTTGAATAGCAATTCAATGGAATATTTCACCAGAAAAAAATAATATTATATAATTAAAAGGATGGAGCTATTATGATCTTTCAGTATTTGGCATGTGGTTGTTTCTGTTTTATTTGCTTGAAGAAAATTATTTTTTATTTCTGTTGTGCTCTAATTTGGTACCAAGAAATAAGTAAGAGATACAGTTTTTAAGCGTTCCTTGTTTAAAAAAATTTAGCCACTAGGTTGGTTAAATAAATTATGGTAGTCCTTAGGTATACTATGCAAACATTTTAAAATTGTGATTTAAAAAGGTATTTACTGATATATTGTATATGCTATGATTCTAGCATTGATTTAAAATATGATAATAGTTATTTCTGATTGGTAGAATTATGGTTTATTTTAATGTTTTCCTATGTGATTTTCTGTCCTTTTCTAAATTTGCTGTGCTGTGATGAACATGTTACCTTTAAAAAACAAATAAACAACAAACCAAAACAAAAAGATATAGAAAATGCCTTTGGTAATTCAAGTAAATAGAGATAATAGAGAATTAAGAAACTTGTAGAATAATTTAAATTTGGGGGACTTATTTAGAAAATGTAACTTTGAAAATTAATAAAAGGGAGGGTGCATAAAGCAATACTTAGAAATCAAATAAAAACGAACCAAACAGAAAATCAGAAATTGATACTGAATAAGATATAAAACTGTACAGGACCAGAGGGAGAAGGTTGGTAATAAAGCAAGAGGCCTGTAAGAGAAGATAAGAGAATTGGAGAGTCAGATGATTCCTAAATTAGCATAATTATATTTCCTAGACGTTGAAAGATGATACCAATGTGCCATCTTTCCTACTTACTGAGTTTTTCTAATATGTTTCTTGTTTTAAATCCTTTAAAGTCACAGGTGCCCAGACTTCTGAATTTTACAAGATCTGTAAAATTTTTAACAAAGATGGAGCAGGTAGAATATCTACGTAGTGTTGCCAACTTTTTATCTTGCCAAGTGATGTTATAAATATCTACCGTCAACATTATTTAACAAAACTGAGACTATTTTAATATCAAAAAGCAGGGAGAGTAGGAGGGAAGGACAATAATTTATAAATTAAAAGTGGGATGTTTAGCTTTCTTTGTTTCTCATTTCACTATGGTCTAGTAAAACTTTGTTATGGACTAAAATGAGAATAAGGACCAACACTTCAGAAAAACTAGTTTAAGGAGTGACTTGATGCAGCAACTTTCACCTTTAGACCTTAAAGCAGACTACAAAGCCCAGCTTCTACTCTGGAGCAGTGTCTTAGATAGTAGGGCTCAGGAATGCAGCTACAGATATAGATAAAGACATCTATACCATATATCCGAAACTTAGCATCTTCTAAAACAGTATGTCTTATTTGTCCAAGTTCATTTAATGACACTACCATCCAGACTGCTATCCACACTAGTGTAGAAATAATCATATACTCCTATTCAATTTTACTTCCCAGATGTGACTCCACCCTTACTCCTTTAGTTTGGATTACTTCATCTCACTTGTGGGATATTTTGACACTCTCTTCTCCTGTTTCAGTGAACTCTTCCAATACTACCTGTGTGATATAATTGAAAGACCAAGCTGATCATGTCACTCCCTTGTTTAAAACAAGACCTTTAGTTGCTTCTCATTGCCTACTTGATAAAGCCTAGCAGGGTATAACATACTCTGTGATCTGACCCCTATTTAGCTTTTCTGTTATTTTCTAGCGTCCTAGCATTCTATCCTACTAAAATTTCCCCAGGCTACTTGATGTCATGCTATTTCATCCTTTTTTCTTCAAGACTCTGGGTTGGTTAAATAAATTATGGTAGTCTTTGGGTGAGGATTAAAAAAGAAAAAAAAAGTTAAATAAGTTAATATGAGCCACTAGGTTGGTTAAATAAATTATGGTAGACCAAAGGAATAGCTTTCTGGGAAGCTATCTCTGACTTTCTACTTCTTCCACTAGAGTTTTCCACTCTCTCCTTTTATTATTTCTGTAACTTATTCATTGAAATATTTGTTTACTACACAGTCTTCATGGTTAAATTGTGACTCCCTGTGGGTGCTATAGCTTTCAACTATATCCCTAGTGTATGACACAATACAAATCTTTGATAAGTATTTACTGAATGAATAAATAAATTGAAAAAATTCTATCTTTCATATATTGCTTCTCTGTTATTTACTTCCACATATACCATAAAAGTGTAAGGTATAAGAAAGTAAGATGGTTCTAAGTTTGTTTTTTTAGATAATAAGAGTTAGAGGAATCTATTTTAGTTTGGATATAAGTTTTTGTAACAGCAAACAACATTTAAGTTGGTTTTATTTCATCTCCAGCTAAATTTTTTCAGTTTCTGTCTTAGTCATCTCAGGCTGCTGAAACAAAATACTATAGACTGAGTGGCATTTATAGACATTTATTTCTCACAGTTGTGGAGTCTGGCAGATTGAAGGTCAAGGTGCCAGTAGATTTGGTTCCTGGTGAAGGCCATCTTGCTGGCTTGCAGGCTACTGCCTTCTCACTGTGCCTTCACATGGAAGAGACCTCTGGTCTCTCTTCCTCTTCTGCTAAGGGCACTAATCCTATGGTGGGTGCCTCACTTTCATAACTTTATCTAAACCTAGTTACTCCCAAGGGCCCCACCTCCAAATATTACCATATTGGGGGATTAGGGCTTCAACATGAATTTGAGGGGGACACAAGCATTCAGTCCATAAGTATCCCTGCTCCCTTTTACCCATGGTTCTAAAGAATTTTAAGATCCTCTCAATATCAAATGAATTTATACTTACTCTTTAAAGTTGCTTTGAATTAATGATACCCTCGTGAGTATATTTTTGAAATGGTCTATGGTATACTTGAGCATATTTAAGTAAAAGTTTAGATTCCTGGATTGGAGGAAATACTAAGTTCCAGGTAGTAATTGCATGGGGGGAAGGGAGTAAGTCATTACAATCTATTGATTGGTACTATATTAAGTAACGGTTGTATTATATCAACCACAGCACATTATGAGAAAACAGTTCTTTTCTGTTTTATTGAAAATAAAGCCCTAGCTGGTTTGGCTTAGTGGATAGAGAGCATCAGCCTACGGACTGAAGGGTCCTGAGTTCGATTCCAGTCAAGGGCACATGCCAAGGTTGCAAGCTTGATCTCTAGTAGGGGGTTTGCAGGAGGCAGCTGATCAATGATTCTCTCTCATCATTGATGTTTCTATCTCTCTCTCCCTCCCCCTTCCTCTCTAAAATCAATAAAAAAAAGAAAATGAAAACTTACTTTTTTTTAAAAAGCAGTGCATGCTGATTATAGAAAATGTAGAAAATACATCCTATATAATAAAAGGCTAATATGTAAATAGACTGAACTGCAAAACGACCGGTCGCTAATGATGTGCACTGACCACCATGGGGCAGTCACTCAGTGCAGGAGCTGCCCCTGGTAGTCAGTGTGCTTCCACAGGGGGAGCGCCGCTCAGCCAGAAGCTGGGCTCATGGTTGGCGGGCACAGCGGCGGTGGCGGGAGCCTCTCCTGTCTCCGCGACAGCGCTAAGGATGTCCAATTGCCAGTTTAGGCCCACCTAGTTGGACATCCCCTGAGGGCTCCAGGACTGTGAGAGGGATGTCTGACTGCCAGCTTAGGCCCAATCTCCTGGGGAGCGGACCTAAGCCGGCAGATGGACATCCCCTGAGGGGTCCCAGACTGTGAGAGGGCACAGGCCAGGCTGAGGGACACCCCCCCACCCCCCGAGTGCATTAATTTTTGTGCACCGGGCCTCTACAATAAATCAAAAAGAAGGTACATTACCCTGGTTGGGTGGCTCAGTTGGTTGGAGTATCATACTATATACCAAAAAGATTTTGGGTTTGATCCCTGTTTGGGGTGCAGAGGAAGCATCTGATCGCTCTTTTTCTCTCACATTGATGTTTCTCTCTCTCAAAAAAAAAAATCAATTTAAAAAACTAACGCATCCTTGGGTGAGGATTTTAAAAAAAAAAAAAAGGAAGAAAATACATCTATAATACCACAGCCCAGAGATAACTCTAAGACTTTGTATATGATCTTTTTATACAGATTAAGATACATGCGTGGTTTTGTAGTTTTTCTCTGTTATTTAAGTAGACTTTCAAAACATCAGGGCAACCTGCTTGGGTCCCCTCCCTGTAGCAGGGAGCTTTTCTGTAATAAAACTGCTTTCACTAAAAAAATACACACACACCAAAAAAAACCACACGTCATGTTTAATTGTTTCATAGTATTGTCTGAATGATTTATTACTGGTCCGCTGTGTTGGACTTTAGCTGGCTTCCTATTCATTATATTAAGTACTTCTTAACTTTAGTACACCTTAAATATTCTTCACTATAATAAATACTTCCCGGGGGAGGGCAGTTAATGGGGGGATGAGGACACATATATAATACCTTAACCAATAAAGAAATTAAAGATAAAAAAAAGTAAAGAACCAAAATAAATAAATAAATACTTACTTTTATTCCTTTAACAATTTTTGGTAAAAATATATTGATCTTTCTTTAGGAATCTACCTTTGTTGTCATATTTAGGCATTCAAAGAATATGTAACTATTTGCTTATTTTATTTCTCTTATGGTTTTTGACATTAAAAATTTCAATCTATCTTTAGTTTATTAAGGTATGTACTGTATGTTGTTTGAATGTCATTTTAGAGTATTTTTTTAAGCCTGCAGTTTGTGTCAAGAATTTTGTCAGCGCCCAGATGGCGTGGCTCAGTGTTTGAGTGTCACCTATGAACCAGAAGGTCATGGTTTGATTCCTGGTCAGGGCACATGCCCGGGTTGTGGGCTCGATCCCCAGTGGGGGGAGTGCAGCAGGCAGCTGATCAATGTTTCTCTCTCGTCATTGATGTTTCTGTCTCTCTCTCCTTCTCCCTTCCTCCCTGATATCAATAAAAATATATTAAAATAGCCCTGACCGGTTTGGCTCAGTGGATAGGGCGTCGGCCTGCGGACTCAAGTGTCCCAGGTTCGATTCCGGTCAAGGGCATGTACCTTGGTTGCGGGCACATCCCCAGGACGGGGTGTGCAGGAGGCAGCTGATCGATATTTCTCTCTCATTGATGTTTCAAACTCTCTATCCCTCTCCCTTCCTCTCTGTAAAAAATAATAAAGTATATTTAAATATATATATATACATATATATATATTAAAATAAAAGAATTTTTTTATGATAAACTAGGAGCCCAGCGCGCGATTTGAAATTACGCGGCGCTGCCCACTCCCTCTCCGGCCCTTGAAGCAGCCACAGCCATTGCTGATCAGGCCCTCCCGCAGCGCAGGCGCGGAGGCCCCTGCCACCCCGCCCCCCGACGCTGCACAGGCAACCTCCTTCTGTCCAGTCGACCTTTTACGGCGTCCCGGTTAATTAGCATATTTCTCTATTTTATATATATATATAGAGAGAGAGAGAGAGAGAGTGCTGAGTCCATGTACTAGGTTTTACAGTGACTAAAAATTATTAATAATTGATCAAAATTAGTGAATCAACTCTGAGAATATGGTTCACTTACTACATATTAACACCCCTCTAGCTTTATGCATTTTTTCCCCCAATCTAATTTGCTTAGGAAAATGTTACAGACAAATATTCTGTTTGGAAAGATTCTTTTGTTTAGAGAAGCGAGCATACCCAGTATACTGTTGGCTTGTAAATGTTAAAAAATAAATTACCTAAAATTTTACCAATTTTACAAATATTTTTATTTTGGTCTTTCTAGAATCTGTGTTTGTGGATATCCCAGACAACATGTAAGAAAATACAAAGGTGTAAGTAGCAGGATACCAGTTTCTTCAGAATTCATGGTGCAGATGTTAACAGGGATTTATTTTGCTTTGTAAGTTTATTTTATATACAAAGTAAACATTTTATCTTTTTGGAAAATTATAGTTTGTTGTTTTATTGTTATTATATACTTATCTCAATAGAAAAATAATTGGCATATATTTGTGAAAGAATATCAATCAAGATCTTGATAATAGTTTTATTTCAAATGTCTTTTAATGTTCTGAAGAATTTGCATCCAACTAAAACACTTCATTTTTTTAAATTTAAGAACAGAATGAAAATTAGCAACACCTAAATATATGCACAGTTCCTTTTTTCATTACTTTTTGCTGTAATTTTCAAATAGCTTTTTTCCCCCAGTGAATATCTTTTTCCATTCTAGAAATTTTAACTCTTAAAAAACATTTTAAAGCCTCTTTGATCACAAATAATGTGTTATTAGTTTCTAATATTGATGCTCAGCCTTAATGCCATAGATACTAGTATTTTACTTGGTAATTCTCTTATTACACATATCTTACTATATTTTTTATTATATTCAGTTGGTACTTTAACTGAATATAGTATTCAGTTATTCAGTTAGTAGATTATAAACCTCATGAATGAGGCAGAATTTATGATCTTTGGGCCAAATCTGGACTGCTGCCTGCTTCAAAAAAAATTGTGTGTGTGTGTGTGTGTGTGTGTGTGTGTGTGTGTGTGTGTGTTATCTATGGCTGCTTTTGTGCTATAGTGACAGAATTGAGTAGAGACTGTATTTTGACAAGCCAAAAATATTCATAATCTAGTCCTTTAAGAAAAAGTTAACCCCTGGGTTAGACCTTTAATATTGTCCCATTATACTCACACACACTTTTTTCCTGATATATTGCTAATATTTGCAACATACATCACGTACACTTCTAAATGACTACCAAAATACAAAGAAGTAACCACTTAGGATATTGTAAGCCACAGTAGTTATAGATTCTCATTAAAAACCGTGGAAGCCCTAGCCACAGTTTGACTCAGTGGATAAGAGCGTTGGCCTGGGGACTAAAGGGTCCCAGGTTTGATTACGGTCAAGGGCATGTACCTTGGTTGCAGGCTCCTCCCCAGCCCAGGCCCTGGTCAGGGTGCATGCAGGAGGCAACCAATCGATGTGTTTCTCTCACATTGATGTTTCTCTCTGTCTTCCACTCTCTCTGAAAATCAATGGAAAAAATATCCTCGGGTGAGGATTAAAAATATTTTTAAAAACCGTGGGAGTTAACAGAATAATTTAACCATAAAGTGTTCTGAACATTATTCTAAGGTATATAATTTACTATGTTCTGACTTGCTTTGAAAGTATAAAATGCTTTGAGGTTGCCTGGCTTATTTTTATATCTGTAGATATAATATCTTTAGAGAAGAAATGTACATCTATAAAATATTCTTTTCCATTAATTGGCTTTCAGATACAATTGAAAGGAATTCAAAGATTTAAAAATATGTATTTAAGGAGAGTATAATGCTAAGCAATGTGCTAATCTGACCAATTATTTTCCTCAGTAAAGATAGTTTTTCATTGTATTTTGTTCAAGTATATAGAATTAATTTAAAATAATTATATTTTATTTATTTAATTTTATAGTTATAATGGAGAATGGGATCTAGCTGAAAAAGCATTGGATGATATTATTTACAGAGCCCAGTTAGAATTATATCCAGAGCCATTGCTGGTAAGTGCCTCATTTATTTATGCAATTTTTTAAATTTAAAAATTCTCAAATTAGAACTATAAATTGAAGAGTAGCCATTCATATGTCATTAATACTCAGTGATTCATGTTCCTGTTATACTAGGAAAATTTTTTATTTGAAAAGGTACACATATAATAAAATTTGACCATTTCATTTGGCTAACTTCTTGGATACCTGATAAATAGTCTTTTTTTAACTTATAAGAATACTAGAGGCCCAGTGCACAAAATTTGTGCACTTTGGAGGGGGGGTGGTCCCTCAGCCCAGCCTGCGCCCTCTCACAGCCCAGGAGCCTTCGGGGAATGTCCGACTGAAGGCTTTAGCACTGCTGCAGAGGCAGGAAAGGCTCCAGCCACCGCCGCTGCACTCGCCAGCCCTTAGCTTAGCTTCTGTGGGAGTGCACTGACCACCAGGGGGCAGCTCCTGCATTGAGCGTCTGCCCCCTGGTGGTCAGTGTGCATCACAGCGACTGGTTGATTTGCATATATTAGCCTTTTATTATATAGGATTCTCCTTAACATGCTAGAACTACACTTATTAGTTAGCATTAGGTATTTGGAAATATAATTTAATCTTTTGAAATTTCATCACTTACATATCATATTTAACTATAAGTTTTCTTCTGAGCTCTTACTCTTTATTCCAGAGGATTTATATATTATCTTATAGGAAATACCTTAGTGAAAGTATTCTTTTTAAAAACGTGTTAAAATTTAACATCTTGTTTTATCTAAGGTGTAATAATACATTTTTATTTTTTAATACCAATCTTAAACTATATGTTTCCTTCTTAGGTTGCTAATGCAATAAAGGCTTCGTTGCCTCATGGTGCCATGAAATCTAGTAAGGAGGGTACAAGGTGTATTCAAGTTGAAATCACACCAACTTCCTCTAGAATATCAAGAAATGCAGTAACCAGCATGTCAATAAGAGGTCATCGGTGGAAAAGACATGGTAAGAAATAAAAAAAACTCTACACATTAGAGGATTGTTGAGTCTATCACATTTTTCTCTGTACTGTAACTCCTGGCTTTAGTAAACAGTATCATAGTGGCATGGAAGAAAGAGTTATTGGGTCACTTTTAATTTCTAATTTATTGTCCATGAGTGACAGGCAATAAGGAAAATAGAGCCCCTTATGTTACATTCATGAATGAAAATTTATTTAAATATTGTGTTGGTTTTAAAATTATATTTCCATAGAGAGAAAAGTAGAAAAATACATTTAAAAATTATTCATACATTTTGAGTTTCTATTCACAATTACTTGCAAATATTTCTTAATGTTTCTGATTTCTCAACTTTCTAGCAGGTACACTTGCATATTGAAGTAGAACGACTAACATTTTCTTCTGGATTTCCTGTAAAGGATGCCATAGTATTGATGCAACTCTAGACATTTCTGTTTTCTGGAAGTTAATTTTCTTCAAAGATTATCTGTTTAATATTCCTCCTTGACCGTTTCGTTTTATTATTTGAAAATTCTATTGGAAGTTCATTTTATTCACCATGGCCTTCTCGATGCTTTCTATTTCTCTTCTCTTATAATTAATTATTTCTTATTTAATTTCTTATTTTTATAACTCCCCTTCTACCTAGAAGTTATTGTAGTGGCAAATATCTGTGTAAATATCAGTGTCACCTTTCTCAGAAGGTAATAATAGAGTGGGAAGCAAAAAGCCACTTCTTTGCCCTAAGCAAACATTGATTAGGAGTCAAGCAAAATCAGTTCTCTATTTTCTTCTTCCTATAAATTGATAAAAATGTTAGCTCCTTTTGGTATATTTAGTTATATTTGTCTCTAGGGTCTCTCTAGAGAAATGCAAATGTGAGAAGAATGAAATTATTTATGGTGAAATAGAAAGTTGATGATGAGAAAAGTTGTCATTGTTCTTTCTCAGGGAAACTAGGAGATGGTATGTCAAATAAAGAATAATGATGAAAATTTCCAGCTTAATCAATGATCGCTATGAATCTTTTTCTCTTTAAAAGTAGTGTGACAGTTCTTGAAGGTCCTTTAGGAAGGCATTAAAACGATGGTAATGTTTGCCATTAGGAAGGCAAATCGTTACTATTTAAAACAAACAGATACTTCAGTTTCTTCAGTGAAAATTATGTTACTGAATGGAACTAGATTATAGGTATAAAGTCATTTAATTAGATATGGTAGTACCTTAGAGATCAGTGTTTTGTTTGGGCATAAATAGGTGAATATAGGCACAGATGCAATGAACCAGATCATATGGGTCATTGTGGACATAATGGCTCCCAAAATACCACTTTAGGAAATGTAAGAATGAATTTTAATTCCTTTGTTTACTTTCCTTTCTTGCTATTTAAGTGGGCATATTGGGAATTAGGAAGAAAAATATGGGTCCTTCAGTTAAAAATGTAAAATATTTAAGCTCAATTGTATTTGTGTGTGTGTGTATGAGAGAAAGAGAAGGTGTGTGGATGTGTCCATGCATGCATTTAACAGAATAAGATGTGCACCCTGCAATAAAATAGAAGGCATTTTTCCAGAAATAATTTTAAAGGAATAAATTACCAAAACGAGAAAAGACTGCTTGAGGTATATTGTATCTATTAGGTACTTACATATTTTCCAGATTACATTTTGGCCTCCACTTGGGTAGTTGGCACTTAGGGCTACAGCTTCATTAAAATAACCTTCCTTATCATCTATTCCCTTATACTTATTCAACCTTCACAACTCTAACACTCCTGTTTATGGTAACAAAAAAGTCACAGATGAGGATTTAGTAAGAGAATGAACTATAAAAAGAAGTCAGCTGAATGGAGCAGATACAGAATATAGCTCAGTCTTGTTTTCCACTTCTGTAGTGTGAGTTCCCTTTATCCAATGGACTCTAAAGTATTCCTAGTCTAAGGTCCTTATTTATCTCTACAGGTAGGTTGCATTCTCCTATTTTTTAGTGTAGCCTTGGCTCTCCTTTTTACAGCAATATTTTTCATTGTTACCTTGTTTTGCTGAATTAAAAACTTTTCTGTTTTCCATTTTTGTAGTCCTGATTCCTGCTTGAACACCTTATTATTCTGGGCTCTTTAGCTGACACTGGCTTCTTTTTTAAAAAAATTTTTAAAATATATATATTTTATTGATTTTTTACAGAGAGGAAAGGAGAGGGATAGAGAGTTAGAAACATCAATGAGAGAGAAGCATCGATCAGCTGCCTCCTGCACACCTCCTACTGGGAATGTGCCTGCAACCAAGGTACATGCCCTTGACTGGAATCGAACCTGGGACCCTTCAGTCCCTAGGCTGACGCTCTATCCAGTGAGCCAAACCGGCTAGGGCTGACACTGGCTTCTTATAGGGACGATAAAATATCTTTGCTCTAGTTCTTACATATATAAATAATTCTCAAGTTATAAATGGATACTTAAATTTATGTATGTATAAATTATATTTATTATATTACATTCATATATAAATTACATATGAATTACAATAAAATTTGATTTATTTATACATTATTTTTTGCAGAAACAATGCTAAAGGGCTTGTAAATTCCAGAGTGACCCACATAAGCCTTTTCATCCCTTAATGTTTCTGAAGCAGAGTACTACAGACTGTAGGTTTAGTTTATGACTGTGTGAAAACACATTTAGAGTTTATTTGATGGAACTCTAATGCATTTCCTATTTCACTTATATCCATACTACTCCCTTACCACACCAAACCTTCCAGGAAGAGGTATATCTTCCCAGACTCTGAACTGTATCACACAGTAGGGACATGGAATATCCAACTATAAGCCTACGAGATTAGGATTGGGGGAGAAGAAGGGAGGAGAAGCATGAACTTTAAGGAAGAGTCTTTTTCTCCTTGCCTCTTTCTTTGTTACTACTGGGAAAGAAGAAAGCAGTTGGCTCCTTTAATCCCCTTTCCTTGAGTTTCTTCCCCCTTTTTAATCTTTTTTTCTTTTATTTATTTTTTTAATTGAGATATAATTGGTATGTAAAATTATATTAGTTCCAGGTTCACAACATGATTCAATATTTGTATATATGCGAAATGGTCACCACAACATACCGAGTGAACATTCATTGCCGCACATAGTTACACATGTTTTTTTCTTGTGATGACAATTTTCAGATCTACTCTTGTAGCAACTTTCAAATATAAAATACAGTTTTATTAATATAGCCGCCATGCTGTACATGTGCATTACATCCCTAGGACTTTCTTTATATATATACTAGAGACCCAGTGCACGAAAATTCATGCACTCAGGGGGGTCCCTCAGCCTGGCCTGCACCCTCTCACAGTCTGGGACCCCTTGGAGGATGTCCACCTGCCTGCTTAGTCCCGCTCCCCGGAGGACTGGGCCTAAGCTGGCAGTCAGACATCCCTCTGGCAGCCCAGGAGCCTGCTTGTGGCTGAGCAGAGCTCCCCCTGTGGGAGCACACTGACCACCAGGGGGCAGCTCCTGCATTGAGCGTCTGCCCCCTGGTGGTCAGTGTGCATCATAGCGACTGGTCATTCTGCTGTTAGGGTCAATTTGCATATTACCCTTTTATTATATAAGAGATATATATGTTTGTACCTATTCACCAGTGGACCACTTTCACCCATACCCCCCAGTGCTCCCCAACCACCAATCTGTTCACTGTATCTATGAATTTGGTTTTTTCTTTGTTTAGATTTCACATATAAGTAAGATCATATGGGAGTTATCTTTCTGTGTCTGACACCTTGTTTCACTTGGCATAATTCCCTCAAGGTATATCCATGTTGTCATATAGGATTTCCTTCTTTTTTATGGCTGAATAATATGCCATTGTAAATGTACCACTTTTTCTTTTTAAAAAAATTGAAAGGATCTGGTTTATTATTTCTTTTTATTATTGATACCTACCTGTTTGCATAAATGAGATATACAAGTTGAATCTCTCCTATTTTCATGATAAGTGGGGATTAATCGAGAAAACAAGTATTAAAATAACATTCTAAAAAATCCTGATTTAATGGTAACATAAATGTCAGATAATGGAATACTGTACTTCAGGACTATAGAAACTACATTTATTTTGTAAATATGATTTTATGATTTTATGAGAAAATCATTTAGTGGAAACAAAGTTGCTAATAGTTATAAAAGCATTTTGAAAAATGCAGAAATGATCATTTTAAACCCCTAAGTAGCAAACTTTAAAGAATTGGCGATTGGAATTTTACATCTGCAATTAGAAATGTATAAAGCTTATGTTTTTAACTTAAAAGTTGTCTATACTTATTAATAAAATTTAGGAAAACTAGCAGTTTTAAAAAGGTTTAAATATTTTAGTATAATTTTGAGAAGCCCCATTATTATCAGATTCTAAAATGCTATTTGAGGAACAAATTTTCCTTTCCCAATATAGATGATAAAACATTTAGACCAAAAATAAGCATTTCCTTCTGGCCAAAGATAGCATTGCATGAATTTTAACTGGCATTCTTGATATGGAACTTTATACTCATGAAGGACAAAATAAAATATTAGGAAATATTAGATGACTAAAAGAAAAGGGACCTATTAACCAAAGAGCTAAAATATCATGGTGGTACAATTTCTGCATATGAACATTAGGTTTAAAGAGGAAAGAATTCTGGCTTAGCCAACTTTAGAAGAAAACAAAAAACTCTTAGGCTATGTCTAGGTAAAAGTAAAGTAATTGTCTATACAGATAAGTAAAATATTTTATAGATATTGGTCTTAGGCAAACACACTCGTTTGTAAATTATTGATTTATATTTTTTACTAAGGAGGTCATATGTAATTCTTGCTGTCGTTTATGAAGTTATTTATTGTTACTTATTATTGAGCACTGCACCATCCTCCCAACCCCCCTTTTAGGAGCATTTGTTGCACACTGCACACAGAGGATGAAATAAGCTTTTATAGATAGTTTTACAATAGATGTTGCTTACCTGTTTTTGGTCTGTC